CCCAAACATGCGCACTGACGTTGACGTTTAAAAACAAATAAAAATCCATTGCAGGAATGTCATCATCAGAAACCTGCAAAACCAAAAGTTTTATTTGTTTGTTCTCGATTTTCTATAGTGTTTTGCCATTAAAAAGGGAAAAATTATGTTGCTTTTAGTGTTTTCCAGTGATCCAAGAAGAGTTTTGTGACTTTCCTGGCCAGATTGTGTTTGTTTTGAATAAGGGGAAATCCTCCAGGTAAAACCCATATGTGTGAGAAAAATCAAATCATATTTGTATTTCCTCAATGATTAGTTGTGCTAAATGTCCATAAGAATTTGGAAAGTATAGAAAACTAGGCCACATACAATGATAAACTTTGTAAAAAGAATTATTCAAGTCAAGGGTATTAAAAATAGGTATTATTGGGAAGAAAAGTTTAAATTCGTAAGATTTGTGGCCTTGAATATTCAAATATTCTGTTTGGCCCACTTTTTGGGGGCTCAATTCCATGATTTGTATAGTTAAGTAGATTTTATCTACAAATTGATAAAATTGAGACTGTTTAAGTTGTGAAATTCTTCCCTAGGATAGTCAAAATCAGTCTCATCATACAGTAAACACAATTGCAATTTATCAAATTCGATAAAAAGATAAAAGGATTTAGGTAATTTGGATTTGAGTAAGTAGAACGCAAACTTTTGAATCCATCCTTGTTTTGACATTATAAGTAAACCAGTTTTTAGCTTTTAAATGCTAAATTAATAATACATTTTATGTGATATAAGATAAGCAAATCAATATTCTTAGTTTAGGAATTAATTATAATTTTAATTAATTATAGTTACAATGTGTAAAATGTTGGTTCGTGACAAGAAAATAGAAATTAAGTAATCTACACCTAACCTATTTGTGTATTTAAATTGCTGCTATCTAATTAGCTAGAAATCCATTTATTACCCTTCTTAGGCCTGGTTTATTAATCTCTCTAGATAAACTGGTAATTAACTGTCTACAAGATAAATTAACTAATTCATAATCCTATTGGTTGACAAATAACTGGCTGACCAATAAGATTAAAAGCTTTCTTCCCACAGAAATTACAAACCAGTTAGCAGGGTTGCCAAAAATCTGGCTAATTGTATTATGTTTTGGATGTTTCTCGTGAATATTTGTATTTTTGATATACATCATTTCAAAACTTGCCACCTATATTATCAATGTGAAGAGGCATATTTCTGGAAATCGCCGAAACACGTCAACAAATTCATTGAGGGGAAAGGTTTTCTACGTAAAACTGGACTTCGCCCCTTCAACCCCCTAAGCCCTAGGGCTACCAACCCAAAATTTTCAAATGAGACAGGGGGTCGAGTGATAGATCATTTTAAAGGGCTGTTTAATCTGTACATTTTAACGTCTGATTTTTTCAAATTTGACCTCACTATCGCAGAATAACACCCATTTCAATGTTTAAAAATGCTTATTTATCCTTAAACACACCTGCTTGTTTACCTGTGGTTGTAATAAAAAGGTAGGTAAAGAAGTATGTGTGTTCAGGGATAAATAGGCATTTTCAAACATTGAAATGGGTGTTATTCTGCAACACTGAGGTCAAATTCAAAAAATAGGACAGCAAAATGTACAGATTAACCAGCCCTTTGAAATGATCTATCACTTGACCCCCTGTCTCATTTTTTGGGGTGGTAGCCCTAGGGCTTAGGGAGTTGAAGATGTGAAGTCCACTTTCACGTGAAAAACCTTCCCCCTCAATAAATTTCTTGACGTGTTTCGGCGATTTCCACGAATATGTCTCTTCACGCAGATAACGTGGGTGGCAAGTTTTGAAATGTATACCTATTTTTATGTATTAAAATCTATCATTTTCAAGCAGATAAAATAACTACAGAGGTATCAAAGAGCATTTTAGAACGTTTGAAAGATTTTTGATAACTTCTAGAACACCCTAGCGTTTCAAAATCATTAAGAAACTAATAAAAAACTTTGGAAAGCATTTTGAAAAGCTTCAGAATGCCCTAGCGCCAATTTGGAACATTTTTAAGCATTTTAAGACGCTCTAGAGCAATTTAGAACTTTGATGAGTTTAGAAGACTTTCAATTCAATTTTCAATCCTCACACATTTGCGAGGGGTGTCTCACGGTTGGAAATAGGTATACAAATCTCAAAATAATTTCTGGCCATATGGAGAAATTACAGGAATTCTCTGTAAATTGTCACAAATTATGTTAATTTTCAGAAATTATAGAAAATGTTTGGAAATTTTGGGAAATGTTAAAAATTAGGACATTTTCACCAGAAATCTTTGAGATTTTTTGTGTTTCAAATATTGTTTAGTTCCTATTCAGTGTTTTGTGAATAAAAATACCTAGCTGCTAACAAAATAAAGATAAATAAGTAAGTAGGTAGGTACCTATGCCAAAAAACATATCTCATAAACTATAGAAGTCAAGCTTCATATTGTTATTTTCTACTGGAAAAAATATAAAATTTTGGGGAAATGAGCTCCTAACCTTCCTCATTAAATGCAGAAAGTTTCAAATTTTTCCCTGTCTGTACTAGTTTTCCAGAAAAACTGTGAAATATGTGAGACTGGGTATTCTCAATTATTTCAGTTATTGTTACCTAGTTGATTTTCAATATTTTGCATGTTGGTATTTTCCACTGAAAAAATTTGAAATTTTTGAAAAGTGAGCTCCTAACTTTCCTCTTCACACGCAAAAAGTTCCAAAATTTTGCCTCTATTAGTTTTCCAGGAAAACTTTGGAATGTGTAAGACTGTATTTTCAAATAATTCAGTTATTTTAAGTTAATTTTCAAGATTTCTCATGTTGTTATTTTCCACTGGAAAAATTTATAAATTTTGGAAAAATGAGCTGCTAACCTTCCTTTTTACATGTTAAAAGTTTCAAAATTTTCCTTTTATTAGTCTTCAGGGAAAACTTTGAAATGTGTGAGACTGTATTTTTAAATAATTTAATTTTTGTAAGCTGATTTCCAAGATTTTTCATGTTGTTATTTTTCACTGTCAAATATTTGAAATTTTAGGAAAATGAACCTCTAACCTTCCTCTTTACATGCAAAGAGTTTCAAGTTTTCCCCTTCAGTAGTTTTCCAGGAAAACTTTGAATTGTGTGAGACTGTCTTTCAATTTAAATTTAGTTTTTGTAGGCTGATTTCCAAGATTCGTCATGTTATTCTCCAATGGAAAAATTTGAAATTTTGCGAAAATGAGCTCCTAATTTTCTTCTTCACATGCAAAAAGTCCTTTACTAGTTTTCTAGGAAAACTTTCAAATGTGTGAGACTGTATTTTCAAATAATTCAGTTTTTGTAGGCTGATTTCCAAGATTCTTCATGTTGTTATTTTCCACTGGAAAAATTGGAAATTATGGGAAAATGAGCTCCTAACCTCCTTTACATGCAAAAAGTTTCAACATTTTTCCTTAATTAGTTTTCCAGGAAAACTTTGAAATGTGGGAAATTGTATTTTCAATTAATTAACTTTTTCTAAGTTGATTTTCAAGATTTTTCATGTTATTTACCCTTGGAAAAATTTGAAATTTTGAAAAAATGACCTCCCAACCTTCCTCTTCACATGCAAAAAGTTTCAATCATTGCCTCAATTAGTTTTTCAGGGAAACTTTGAATTGTGTGAGACTGTATTTTCTAAGGGGAAAACCAACTAGGAATTCTTTGCCAAAAATGAGGGGAATTGAGGTAAAGGGAATTTGAAGAAATTTATGGGGAAAGTGAAGAAGTTTTCAGTTAATTTGAAGGAATTTGTGGAGGAAGTTTTTCAGAAGTTTTGGAGAAAAATGAAAAATCTCTAAAAAATTTTAAAAATTATCAATTTTTTTTTCAGAAATGTCAAAAATATCATAGAAAATCTGTAAATATTCGGGAAGTTTAGGAAATTATTCAGGAAATTATTCAGAAAATTCTATAAATTATTCAGGAAATTTTAGAAATGATAGGAAATACTTGAAAAAATTCTGAATATTCAGGAAATTTTGGAAATTATGGGCAATATCAGCAACATTTCCAAAAAGGAAATGGGTGTTCAAAATTTAAGAGCGTGAGACACCCCTTGCACATTTGTTTAGGATAATTTGGAATCTTTAAGAATATTGTAAAACGTTACAGAACACTAAGAATCAATGTAGAATTTGAGAGACATTCTAGAATGGACCAGAACACTTCCGAACTTTCAGCAACATTTTAGGAAGTTTTTGAAACAATCTAGAATTGGCAACTTTTAAAATATCTTGAAAATTATCACATGACACACTAGAACTAACTTAAGACTTCCATGAACATGTTAGAACAGGAGCGAAATTTGATCGTAGCGCTGTCTAAGAGAAGGATTCAACACTAAACAGCACTTATGTTGTTTTAGTACTGACTATCTAATAGGCCGACCAAAAATCAGTTTTTTGGGAAAACCCAGAATAGGAAAAACAAGTTTTCTCCTATTATCCACTGATGGGAAAATTTTGGATTAATTTTCCTTGCTATTCCATCCACTGACGCTTTTCGACCTATCAGGTCTTGTCAGTGTGGCTAGGAAAGCAAAGAAAACCAATCCAAAGTTTAGTATCTGTAGGCAAAGTAGAAATCTTGGTAGAAATAGTATGACGAAATTTTCACATCAGTGGATAATAGGAGAAAACTTGTTTTCTCTATTCTGGGTTTTCTCCTCCTGCATTCGTTCGGATAAATTAGAATCTCTGAGAACATTGTAAAACGTTACAGAATCAATTTTGAATTCTCTGTGTTTCTTCTCTAAATAAGAAAATTATGTGAAGAAAATTCGAGAGCCTGGAATAAACAGACAAAGAAAAAAAATTATTTCACCTTGACATGAATAAGATGTTGGACATAAAAAATACCAATAATTTCTACAGTTTCTCATTCAAAAACATTTCTATACTCAACATTTTTCTGGTTTGTATTTTTTAATTATTGAATTTCAGACAAGACAACTAGACTCTGGTCTCAAATAATGACGTCGACAGTGGCCTCTGTGGCCGCAGCTTTCGTAGGCAACCTGACCAGCACAGTAGTAGCAGCAGCAGCAGAACCCGATCAGGTCCACTCGAAACCCTCGGAACCAATTTTCCTGCAAACGAAACTCACTCAGGCGGTGGCCGGATTTTTCGTTTGGGCCGCCCTGTTCGTTACCTGTTCACAGGTAAGTGAACTTTACTTTTCATTGCTTAGAAGAGAATCACGTTTTTCACCTTTTAGTTGGTTCGAGGTCTTTGTACGCTTCTTTACTTGTTTAATCTAGTTTTTTTTAAATTAAAATATTTGCTTTGTTAATTGGTTTTTGGGCTTGACTCATTTTGGTTTGATCAGATAAAATGTGTTATCCTAATTTGACAAAAGAGATGTACTTTATAATGTTTTTGATAGCAACTTCTTATCATTATTATTGTATAATCCAGTAAAAGGATGCTGCTGATGTAATCATTATACATATTGTATTTACTTTCTCTTTTTTCATCTTGATTTAAATGTTTTGATGAATTCCATGGGTCAATAAGTGTTTTATATTATTCCATTTTAGATCTATCATCATCTAAGATGGTACACAAATCCTGCAGAACAAAGATGGATAGTTCGAATTCTATTTATCGTACCAATATACGCCACTTATTCGTGGATAAGCTTGTTGTTTTTTAACTCTGAAAGCTACTATGTCTATTTTTTCACTGTCAGAGATTGTTACGAAGGTAAAATCCTTGACAAACATCAACCAAAACTAACAAATCCCATTTCTAGCCTTTGTAATCTACAATTTCTTGTCGCTATGCTATGAGTATCTAGGAGGGGAGGGTAACATAATGTCCGAAATACGCGGCAAACCGATAAGGTCTAGCTGCATGTTCGGTACTTGCTGTTTGCAAGGCAAAACCTACACGATTGGGTTTTTGAGGTTTTGCAAACAAGCTACTCTACAATTTTGCTTGATCAAACCTCTGATGGCTTTCGTTATTATATTTTTACAATCGTTTGGACATTACCATGATGGTGATTGGAGGTAAGAACTTTTGTCCAAAAGAAAGTTTATTCTTGAATCTTGATGGGAATATTTTTTATGTTTTAGTCCTGATGGTGGTTACATTTACATCACAATAATCTACAATATATCCGTGTCACTTGCCTTATATGGACTGTTCCTGTTCTATTTCGCTACGCGGGACCTTTTGACTCCGTTCGAGCCTGTACTTAAATTTTGCACAGTTAAATCTGTCATTTTCTTATCTTTCTGGCAAGGTAAGTCTGCATATTTCAATTAGACACAAAACTACAATCTACAAAAAAAATTTCAGGTGTCGGCCTAGCAATTTTAGAAAAAGCCGACATAATATCGCCATATATTGACGGTAGCGGTACTCGTACTTCTGCTGGTACCGTTTCAGCGGGCTATCAAAACTTTCTGATTTGCATTGAGATGTTTTGCGCGGCCATCGCGTTGCGGTACGCGTTTCCGCACAGGGTTTACGTGCAAGGTTGCGTCACCGATTCCAGAGGCCGCTCCGTCACCATGCAAAGCATTTCCAGTAGTCTGAAGGAGACGATGAACCCGAAAGATATTATGACTGATGCTATTCATAACTTTCATCCTCAGTATCAGCAGTATACGCAGTATAGCTCGGGTAAGAAGTGATTTTGCACGTTAATAATTGTTTGCTTGATGCACATTTTTGTTGTTGTAATATTGCCTATTGTCAGAATAACATAAATGAATTGTTGCCTCAATTATTGTCATTTCTTGCATGATTATGCTTTTTGCAGATGTCATATCACACCAGCCCTACGAGAAACTTTGATGTCCTCATGGACGCATTTGCATGGATGTCAGGCTGCAAACGTTTTCCTTGTTAGTTTAGTATTTTTCTGTTGACTCTGGGACTATTTTTCACTTTCAAATAGACGATAATTTATAGGAAAGTTTAAAATAGACTGACAATAATAAGCAAGTTTGTACGCAATTGAAAAAAAAAATTGTGATAGCACTTCGAAAAATAACAAAATTATAGACATTTAGTGACACTGTTTCTTGACTAAAATATTTATTATTAAATAATTGTGCCAGCTAATTTACCCGACCATAATTTTTTTGCCCATATATTTGCTACAGTACTTAGATTAATTAGTATTATTGATAATATCATTTAGTTTTAGCTATGGCCTTTTTTTTTGAGTCAATTTTGAATGCATGACTACTCGTTCAAGCATGACAGAGAACGAGTGCCCTAAGCATGGTCAAAAAAAATTATAATTAATAATAGAGGCCTTAATTAATGTTTATATTTTGTATATAGTATTATTTTAGTATTTTATATTTAGTTTATTCTTTTATGTACCTTTTTCTTTTTTTTTTTTTAATAAATGGCTTTTTGGTGTAACATAAGTTTTGTTTTTTTTTTGCTACTATAACTGGATTTAAATCTAAAATTGCCCAAAGAACATTTTCTGTAAATTTCAATTTTTAAGTCCTTGCTGCTTGCTATATACAAAATTGTAGAAAATGCATCCAACGAATTATGTGAGAAATTTTTGTAGACATATTTAAGATGTCCACAAACGACATTCAAGACGTCTTTATAGGATCCAAAAGACATCTTGAAAAAGTCCTGTATTACAAAACTCAACGTCTTTCAGATGTCTGCCTAAAGACGTCTGTGGGACTAATAGTCCATACGCTAGGTAATATCGTGTGTTTTTGAGAGGTCCACGAATTATTTTTGTGGCATTATGTTGCCTGAGACGTACATATTCAGTATCATTTGGTTATCAGGCCCAAAAATGGCCAGTTTGGTTTTTTATACAGGTTGGTCATGAATTAAAGCTAATTTTAGGTTCAAGTTACTTTTTAAAAATACAAACTTTTATGAAATGAATAAAGACGAATTTTCATTGGTTACAATGGCTTAAATAAAATAGTATAAATGTATAGTCAGCAGTTCTAATAGTGTGGGTTGCTTGAAGTCGGATTTTCTTTACAGGTTCTCATCATAAAAGGCCATGTATAGGGTGTCCATAACTCCTCCGCTCCTAGTGTAAAATTCTGAGGTTAGGACTAGAATTTGGCGATGGTTGGCTGGGGAATTCTTCTTTCTTGAGTTTCTTGAACATATCTTATCCTTGTAAAGCTTAAAAAGGACAAAAATAATAATACTATTAAGGTTTCTTAAATAAATGTTATTTATTTCGATTTCACAATTAGGAGGGAGTTCAATTAGATAATACATAATACGTTCCTTTTGAGGGTATCTTCTCGTTATTGTTGTCGCATTTTTGATCTGCCACGGTATGTTCTGGACTTAGTACTATCTACGGGTTGGCTTCAATCTTCTGAATTTTCAGTTTGTTGACTTTGACGGGAACCAAGTGGCAATTTGATAAGTTTTGGGAAAATTTTAGTGACTGGGTTTTTTTTCAAATTCAAATTCAAATAAGCTTTATTGTCCTAATTTTTTCAAAAGATCATTGACAAAGCAAAACTTAATTCTAAACAATTTTTTTCATATCTATTACTACCTAATCTATGTCAACAATAAATAATTTCGTCTATAAAAATACAAATATAAAATTTGAAACACAGAAAAACAGTATAAAATTTACGAGCATGTAAAATCAACATTAAAATAAAATCAAAAACATTCACAAGATTATCCGACAAACAAACGAAGTTTTAAAGTTTATAAACATGATGTACACTTCAAAAAATTGAACAATTAACAAATAAACAATTAAATACAGATAAACAATCTAAATTGTCCAAACTATCCAGATATAATGGGTTTCACATGGTGAATCCTATGTAGTTTTAGTGGGATCCATTTTGTGACAGATAAATTCTTCAGGAATGATTTCGATGCATGGTTTATCCAGGGTTGGCAGGATATATATCAGCGATAAATATCCTGATATATATCTTGATAAATATCATGATATTTATGCTATAAATATCATGATATATATCAATATTTATTGTTTGACCTTCTTTTCTTATTTTATAGTTTTATTATTTTATGTTAAGTTTATTTATGAGGAGGAAATCACAGGGATCTCGGCTAAAACAGTCTATATTACGTCATTTATCAATTAATATTTTATTTATTTTTATCAGGCTTTTTAGGGCGGGTATGATGAAACTATTTTGACAGATAACTAAATGTTAACTTCTGGAATTGAATTACTATGCGAAGTACCGTCATTCCAGAAGTTAACTTCTAGTTATTTTATCAAAATAGTTTTATAATATCCGCCCTAAGTTGTAGTTTTCTTCTTGTTGTTGAGTTCAGAGTTGTCATATTTTTCTTGATGTTGAACCCCGTCCCAAGGCAAACATAAGTAAGTAGTATAAATGATATAAATGTTTTCATATTCTTAAACTCGAATTTTTATTTACCTACTACACTTTACATTCCTCTACATATGTATAGGAGATATACGAGCACTAAAACTTGTTATCGCCATATATCAACTTTACATGTTTGTAACATTTTATTAAATTTACCATAAAGTTATTTTGAATTTTAATAATATAGATAACAGATGAATTAATTCAATTTAAGTACTTAATTAAATATATAAATAAATATCCAAATTTGGATATATATCCGATATTTATCTATATATATCGGATAATTGGATATTTATATAAATATCATGATATTTGCCAACCCTGGGTTTATCAGAGAAATAATGGTTTTGGCGATTTTGCTCATTAATAATCAAATTTAATATTTTTTATTTGGAATTATTAATTTAAAAGAATCATTTTTCTCAATAGGCAGGGCATATAAGTGATAATAATTATAGTTTACTTTCTCAACTATAGGTATTTTAACTATAATTTTTTTTCTGTGACGGGAAAAAAGTTGACTTTTTGTACTTGTTGACAGGGGCTAAAATGTCACTTTTTCTCCCATGGGAAAAAGTAACAGGTACAGGGTGTTTGTTCATAACTGGAACACTCAGTAACTTTTCTATTATTGAAAATAAAGGACATGTTTAAATTGGAAAATTTCTTGGTAAATTGCAACGATCTTAATCCCTACAACGATATTTTTTTGTCGCCATAGGTATACAGGGTGGGCCAAAAAAGTCATTTTTTCAAATAGAACGACCTGTATATTTTTGCACTTCTAAAATTCTTAGAAAATTAGCTTCACAAAAATATCAAACACTACTGGATAACAAGAATATATAGGGCGTTCCATTTAAAAAAAAAAAATACCCTTTTGGCATACCCTGTATACCTATGACGACAAAAAATATCGTTATAGCAATTAGGGTTGCAATTTATCAAGAAATTTTCCAACTTAAACATGCTAATCATTTTCAATAATAAGAAAGTAACTGAGTGTTCCAGTTATAAACAAACACCCAGTACCACTCAATTTTTTTCCCGAGGGAAAAAAGTAACAGAGGTACCAGTCAAATTTTTTTCTCAAAGGGAATAATGTATAGATGGAAAATGTTGAGATTTTCCTGTCACAGAAAAAAAATAGTGTATTATACTTCGATTTCTTCAACACGTTTATCCAGTATTTTTTGATTTTTAATTAAATTCTGGATATTATCCTGAAATATTTGGATTGACTTTTGAAATAATGTCATCTGATCTTTTACATAAGGTTTTAATACAGGGTTAAGTGTCATAATTTGTGTCATTACAGTGAAACTTCCCTAACTCGAATCTTCAAGGGACAGGAAGTCGAGTTCGAGTTATGGAAAATTCGATTAATGGAAAAATGCACAAAATTGAGCCAATTGAGGATAGTTGAATTTATATTATGTATGTATTACAAAAAAGTAGTTAGACATACATTATATAAACCAAGGCAAGTCCATTTGTCGCCGCTGATCACTGAGAGTCGGTAATTTCCACAAGTGCACTAAATGCTGTAGATGCTTCCCCGAAAAATTTGAGTTACACCCACGGTTGCCAATAAATTTTAGTTCGAGTTTTAGAAATATTCCAGTTATAGAGATTAAAAATTCGACCTATGGGGGAAAAAATACATAGCGAGGTTGTGAAAACCTATTTATTTGTGAAGAAAATTCGATTTAGAGAAGATTTCGAGTTAGATAAGTTTCACTGTATTTTGGTTTTGAAAGATTGCATCAGAGGATTGCATTAAATTATGAGAAATATCAAAAATGTGTCTATATTCCTTAACCAATGTCATGTCATTGTCAAAAGCTCTTTCGATACGATCATATTGATCACTCAATGTGTAAAAATTATCGATTATTCCTGATATGTCAAAAACTTTTATAAAAGTCCAAGAATTAATCTGAGTCTCAGAGGCAATAATCCTGGATTATCAGTCAAATCATAATATTTTGGTTTATCTAGTTCGTCTAGGGTGTAGATAGCAAGTCTGAAACAATACAAGGAGGTTGTTTTAATTCCTTGACATGAATAATTTCTTTCTTATTAGAATTATCTTTTCTTGTTATCTCTATTCGATTTCTTTCTATCGTTTTTGTAATTATGTATGGCCTTTTTCTTGTTGTTTATAAGATTTTCTTTCACTTTCTCATAAACATGCTCTAATTTCTTTTTATAATATTGGGCATAATCGCTATAAAATTCTTTTAGTATAAAAATCTCATTTGGGTCTCTAGAGTTAATGTG